GTGAGGGGGGGGGGGCGGGGATGGAGGGGGGGGCAAGAGGGGTCTGCAGCTGTCTCTGCTGCCTGCTGTTGCTCTTGGAGAAATAAAAGGGCTAATAAGGAGCCTCTGCTGCTAGGAACACTGGGGTCATTTGATTCTTTCGGGGGGCGCAAATTAATGTGGACAGAGCTGTGATTCTCCCCACCCCCCCGCGATTGGATTATAAATCCGGGGGGAAGAAAAGCCTGGACCCAACTGGATAAGGTAACCGGCTCCAGAAAGGGACTGCGGGGTCGCAGGGGCTCACACGAGTGGCCTCCCTTGAAATGTCTTTCTTGGCTTCCAGCTCCCAGCCCGGCTCCCTTGGCCTTTGGGAGTTTCCGCAGCGATGCAGAAGCGGGGGCTAAAAAGATGCCCCAGATGTTGGCTGATGTGTCGTGTTGCTAGGCGGGTCGGGGCGTTTGTTTGGGGAGGAGGTTGGCGGGCGCGTTTCGCCCCCTTCGCTTGGCGAGTTTTGAGCGCTCTTCGGACGCGTTTGGTCTCGTGGGGTTGGCTTGTCTTTTCCGGCGTTTCTTTGGGTGCTCTCCTGCAGAAGAGGAACTCGGTGGCCTTTCCTTTAGGAGCCGTGCTCACTCTCTCTGGCTGGGATGAGAGGCTGGATCTCTTGTCATCGACTTTGCAGTTCGAGGAAGGTCTCCCCCGTCCTCCCTTCCACGAAAGTAGCAGCAAAGTTGTCACCGCCGGGAGGCAGAGGGGGACTTTGATTTCCAATCCAGTCAGTAAACTACTGATCAGTGGCCGGAGATAGCTGTGCAAGCAGATGAAAGCCTTTAGCAATGGCACTGATAGTGGCCCCGGGATTATACGAGGGATCAGACCCCGAGGTTCAATCAGCATGTCGAATATTGATACTGACGGGGAGAAAAGGAGATTAGACAGACAGTCGAATAATCGAATCTCCCTTCTTCTCATGCATCATTTTAAATGTTTGCTTTTCCTTTTTACAAAAAATAAAGCACTGGACGTACTACAATCTTTTATAGGACTTTTTTTATTGAGTGAGAAAGCAACAGGGGAAAAAGTTTTCTAAAAATAATGTTCCTCTGAAAACGACACGGAACTCCTAGTTCTCTCGCTTGGAAAGTCAACAAAAAATGTAAGAAAGCACTTGACATGCTTACATGTCATGGAGTTGCCTGCCCTGAATTATACCCCCCCTCTCTTGTGGTAGTAGCTAGCCCCAAATGTAGTATTCCTCCCTTCTCCCAAACTCACTGGGGTGCTCGCCGGAGGAAGGACTGGAGGACGGGGGCAGGAGCCGGTGCTAAATAGACCATTACATCGTTAATCTTTTCCTGTGTGCCCCAGACAGCATTATATTTACGGTCTCCTACCCCCCCCCCCCCCCCCCCTATATTCCATTAT